CCAACATGGTTCAGATATCTGACCTGCAATAATTAAATAAAGACTTCATTATAATATAGTTATGCTATGATCACATCCTTCGCGAATAATTTATTTCTTGACCTTTTTTTCTCTCAATTTGCTTTACACATACAGACTTGGGTTTTACTTACACAATTTACAAAATTATTCAATTAAAAAACTGTAGTCTCATTCAATAATAGATAGCATATTGCACAAGAGCGTTTTATTTCAGCTGCAATTCGCTGACGTTGACGAGAAGAAAGCGAAAAGCACGACGGCTACAATAATTAATATGACTGGGTTGTTTAAGATGTTTCATTATTGATACTTACATAGTAAAACTTGCGTACGTTAAGGAATCTCAATCAAAATGACCAATCTGAAAGCACAATAATTTATGAAGAAATTTTGTCAGTTTTGATAGATGAACGGTTCTCGATAAGTATTAAAAATGTTTTATTAATTTCTGCACGATCTATAATATATTTATTTATTAGTTCGCAGATTACAAAACAAATTTTGTGTAATATTTTTTAATGAATTGAAAAGGACTAAAATATATAACCAGCAATAACCTAACCTAACCTAACCTAACCTGTCTCAGTCATAGACGTAGGGCAAGGCAGAGAAAAATTCCAGTCGTGAGGGTATACGATTGGAATTTTTCTCTGCCTTGCATTACGTCTACGATTTAAGACAGTATTAAGCACTCACGGATCGTTCTCTGCCAGCAGCCTACGAAACGTTGTCCGTACGGTCTCGTGGCTCGTACAGGACTGTACACAGGACTCTCTGATCATTCCGCGGATCCGTCTCTAGCACTCAAACGGTGAGCCAATAGAGGTGCCCGAGATTCCTCCCGACCAATGAGACGAATGTTGTATATGTGTAGTGTGTATATATGGTAGTTGTATATGTGGTAGTGTGACAGTGTAAAAAGATTTTACACATTAAAGTAATGACGGAATAGCACGTGATCGAAATCGAAAAGATCAAAGGTTTGACAGAGAGTGGGCATACATAGTTATACTATGGTACACCGTTCTCTATGAATTTGCACTCTCAGTATAACATCTATGTTGTTAATATGTCGAGTTGACTATCCGTCACTAATACGAATAGTTGTGCCGACATCAATCTTGATACTTTTGATGCAATGTTCTTCGTCAAAACTTTAATTTTAGTAACAATTTAAAATAATATTATTAACAGAACAATGTATACACGAACAAATTACATTAGTAAAATCATGGTTTTGGTAATTATGTAGAATAGGGCCTTTTCCGAATTTTGATATTTTCTTGCGGTTTTCTTGGTAAAAACCTTTGTTGTGACTCTGACAGTGATAATCAATCGGGGGAGT